AAATTTGAGGAAGAGTTTGAAGTTGCAGAATTTGTTCAAGAAGAGGAAGGTGCACGAGAAGAGAAAGAACAAGGGGATTGCGTTGAATTAAGTGATCTAATTGTAGATAGTGTTTGCTGTAAAGTTCTTGTATCGAAGAAATTGGTGGAGCCATTGGAATTTTCGATTAAGAAGCCAATTTTTCTAATGCCTCTGTTGGAGGAAGATTTTGTAAGCGAGAGTTTTGTGCCGGGAAGATTGGAGGAACAATTGAAGTTGTTTGCAAAGAAGTATGCATTGTTATATTTTGACCATAGCTCGAGGTCGAGCTCTTTTGAAGAAGAGTAGATTGATAAGGAACGTCAAATTGATTTCGAATTGCAAAAGAACTACTTGATTCGGAGAAGAGTTATTTATGGGCATTGGTGGAAATATCGAAAGAAATTATGGAAAAACAAGGGTTTTCTACGAACTCAAATTGTATTTGAGTACGAAACGAACTCTATCTCAAGTGAAACGGCGCAAGGAACAAAACTCATGAGCAAAGCTCATGAATCACGTCAAATTTCAGCAATCCAACGTCGTTTAGACTCCTAAAAGTTCGTTTTTGCTATTTTAGGCAAGTTTTAGAAAATTAATATCAAATCATAGAAAAATCGGATTAAGATTCCGTAAATTGGGTTGTTCCCAAAATTACGAGATCTACTAGAATCAGACTCTAACTCGTTTTGCCGGTTTAGGTAATTTTTAGTATTTTCTTAGTTTAATTAGTGTTTTCAGTTTTTTAGTATAAATAGCTGCCTTAGGACTTTATTTTGAGAAGAATTTCGAATTTTAATAAAATATTTAGAGTTTTCTCTATTTTTCCGGGTGAATTCCAGAGTTTTCGGTGGATTCCGAATGTTATTTTGTTCTATAAGATTAATTCGTAGAAATTATTCTTTACCGTGCTTCTGTTCTGCGTCAGTTATTATTATTATTATTATTATTATTATTATTATTATCATTATTATTATTATTATTATATATTTATTATATTATTATTTCCTTCCTCTTGACTCAGAAGTAGCATCAGCTGCCTGCCGTCTTCGCCTTCCTTGATGCGGCTCTGTTTTTATTTTTTTTTTTATTTTTATCTTTATACCTGACTAGTTAGAGAGACTTGGCGCCCCATTTCTACTATATGAATTATATTTTATATATATATATAATTCCAAAACATATAATAGCTTGGTCATATTCATTGATGCATTAACTAAAGACCAGCTGGAGTCTATTAAGACACACTGTCAATGGCGTGTAATGAAGCGTTATTTCATTTTTCAAGCAAACACAAAATATTGAAGGAATGTTATTTAAGGCAATAATTGATATATCATCAACTATTGAAAATGCACGATCAATTCATTGGTATAAAATCACGTGGTTCAATTTGGATTAAAGTCAATACAATAACCAAGGGGAGGGGTTGTTGAATATTAATGATTATATATAATGAGTGTAAAGATATAAGTGTTAAGTGTATATTTTTACACTTAATCGTACCTTTTAATTGGAGCTTTTGCTGTGTTTTAACTTTTAACAATAATTGGTGCTTAAAAAGTTGATATATTGTATTTTAGGTACAAATTGAAGAATTGGAAAAAGATGGGGTAAAAACTGCAATTTTGGAGAAAATATGGGCCAAAAGTGAAGAAATAAAAAATCTGAAGAAGTATAGCTCGGGACGGCCGTCTGAGAAATACACTTAAAACGGGGACGGCCGTCTGAGAAGCAGAAGCAGTCTCTGGTTTTGAGACGGTCGTCCGAGTTTTAGTACAAAATTCGGGACGGCCGTCCGAGATGACGAAAAGGCGCAGTAAAGGAAGCCTAATTGCCCAAGTTTTCCACCATATATAAGACCAAGCCAAGTACACAATTGGGGAGCCATCTTTTACGCAATTTCAAGAGCAACAAAGCAATAACGAAGAATTCGAAGACTCCAAGCATAGATTTATCGTTTATGATTTATTTTATTTGCGTTTTTACTTTAATCATGAGTAGCTAATTTACTTATTTATAGGATTTTATTTGGAACCCTATGTGGGATTTATGAACCCTTTTCTATGATTTTATGCAAGTTTTAATTCCGGATTATTTCTTCTTCTTGTTTTATTAAGTGCATGAACTTGATCACCTTATGTGCTTTTATGTTATTGTTAATCGCATGAATCGGAAGATCGGGTTAATAATTAGAACTGTGGTAGAAAAGCTTTTGTGGTATTTACATAGGAATATATAGTTAATCTCTTAGGTAGCCATTATTGAGATTTGTGCTTAATGATATGTTCTAGAATTAATTGCATAGGAATACAGTAATTGAATCTAGAATATTAGAATCGTAATACACGAGGAAGCGGGTTACGATTAATTTAGCATCTCAGGTTAATAATCCGAGTTAATTACTTGCATAATTGAAGGAATTGGGGGAATAATAATCACATAGGGGAAAGAATAAAATCCTAGGCTCGTTTTCTCTGATTAAATCTTCGTTTTACATTGCTTTCTTGTTTTGTTTGTTTTTTTAATTTATTTTAATTTAGTTAATCTTTTCCAAATTCGACTGTATAGGATGGACTTGATAATAATTGTTAGGATTTAGCGCCTAGGATTAAGTAATTAAATATTCTCTATGGGATCGATACTTGGACTTAAAAATCTACTTTATTACTTGTAAGATACGTGCACTTGCGTGTG